AGAAAGGCAGATGGCCAAAAGTTCCGACCGTCACGTCCTGAGTTACTCTTCTCTGACCCAGTAGTAGAATTTCCCTGTCAGTCTTAAATCACAACCGTGGCTCTAAAGTAGGGATCATGTTTTTGTAGCAATAGAACGTCAACCACGAATCCTCGGGTTTACAGTTCAGGCACGCTAACCAATAAGCCATACCCTTCCCCAAAACTAGAAAAAGATGTCATCGTCGACAGAAGATAGAGAGTGTTTGATTTACAGCTAACGCCATTAACTTTCACTATTAATTTTCACATTACAATAGACTTTTATTTTCGTAATTTTACTTTGATTATATGTCAGTATAAAGTATGTGAGGAAAATGTTTCAGTTGGGTAGTTAATTGTATTTGTTTATTCTTTTTCTGTTATCTAAGATCGACCACCATCCTCCACTTGCCTGTAGACAGTAATTGGTAGTTTAAGCGTGGACTGTAGCAATTATTTCTACTCTTAGTTTTAACTTTACATCAAGTGCACGTGTGAAGCTCGATAATTAAAGTATGGTAGAACGTGTATCGCCTGGTTGTTTCTTTTTCATCATCATATCATGTACTATAACATATTTCACATTTGCTTGTTTGTTTGTTTGTTTTAAAACAAAGCCACGTTGTGCTATCATCTACTCTGTCCATCGCGGGGAATCAAACCCCGGATTTTAGCTTTGCAATTCCGTAAGCTTACCGCCGTCCCACGGGGGACTATTTTACACTATTCTGAAGTTTAATTTCTGGCTTTATATTTTTTCCTACCGCATGTGTAACACTTAGTGGTTTTGATCTGGTTATCTAATATATAAAGCTAAGTTTTGTGTCTCTTCGCACCTTTCTGTCATCTGTTTCTTATAAGTTTCCATACTTCTTGATCAATCCAGCACCAAACTTGATACAGTGATACAGGATGACATGAGGAAGGTCATGAGGGGGGTTGGACCCCCATCTAATTTCATATTGATAGAATTCTTGAAAATAGTATGTCTTTCTTTTCAGTATTGGTATATTTATGTATTTTTATTGCACTTTTAATGTTTATTATCTTAAGAACAAAAATAGAACGAGTTTTTATTTCACCAGTCCAACGGATGAGTACCCTCCGTATTGTAAACTAAATAATTGACTCACAGGTATACAAGGTGGAGTAAAAGAAGTTGATAAATGCGGAATTTATTAAATTCCTTGTGTCTGGGGTCAAATATGCATTGGCCAAACGTGCAGAAACTTGAAATTTAAGATCAAGGAGCCTAAGTAAATTAGTCGGCCTTAGCAGAAACTGTGGCAGACACATCTCCTATTATAACCAGGAGTAATGTTAAATTGATATATCAGATTGAGATGAAACTGAATTAAATATTAGAGAAACAAAATATTAGAGAAAGAAATTGAAAAAACAACAACAAAAAATAAAGACATTGTGCTGAACAAAGAATTTGGTCCAGGTTTAGAAGAAATAAAGTACTGGATGAATGTGTTATAAACTCTGGGTATTTAAGTCTAGATAGCACTGAAATAATGCAAATAATTATGTAGTTAAACAAGTCTTGACCAATCTTCAACTTTTACTCCTGAAGTTGGTGGCGTAAGAACACCAAAACATGTAGAGTCATCTTAAGACTGGTCCCTGTTTTTAATAAATTATTTGTTGTGTAATTATTTTATCGTTGTGCTCTTTTAATGTATATATTACTGTCTTTACTTGTATGGCAGGAATATTATCATTTGTGTGCACCATGAATAACTGAAATGGCTGATGAACTTCGAACATTACCACATTTATGATTCTAATGGTGTGTAAATATGATATATTGTACATTATTGTCTGGGATGGACAGACAGTAATTCAAATTCATAAGTTTTTCAGATAGTGAGATCATGTCTGTTTGATGAATGTCCTAGTTTCTTAGTGTTAGGAGATGGTGGACATCACACAGGAAGTTTTCACTCCCTTTCTCCAATGGTCTCAAGCTCTGTTATTAGGAATCTTCTGTTGAATTGCCATATCTGTTGCTTTAGTAGGTATTTAATAGTCTAATGTGCTATCATTATAAATCATATAATTTTTTTTAGATTTTGGTTTGATTGAATTTTTAGTATATATCAGATGTAGTGGGGATTTTCGTGACCCTGAGGTGGCAGTGATAACAGCAAATCACAACAGTTAGGCTGAATGCTGTTTTATGATGCAAAAAATGAATTTGTTTACTGTTTCCTTGGTACTTTAACTACACTTTACTATGTACATATGGGTATATTTTTTATTTGCAGCTGACAACACGGAAACTGATCTAGATGGATGGATATGGCATTAATGGCCATTTCTCCGTGTCTCCATCAATGAATACTTCTATCTTTATTATGTTATTTGTGTTAGTTGAATTATTTAGGCAGTACCTAAAAGTCATAAGTACATTTCAACACATATAAAAACAGGCTACAAAACGAGAGGCATGTATAGTCAGCTACAAAAGTTCAATGAACATACAAAGAGACCTACAAACTTTGAAATATAAAAAAGAACGCGAAAGAGTAAAATATTTTGCATATGAAGACAGCTTTCCAACACTTTAAAATTCTCATACGGTTGGAATATACTACACAAAAACTACAATTTTTAGACCTACTGTATATATATATATAAGCTATTGTTACGTCTCTGTTCGTTTGTTAATTTCCAGTATAAATTCTTTCCGAGGAACTTCAGCGATACGAGTCCTTTCTTAATTAAAACTAGTTTATTCTTTCTCCATACAACTTTGTAATACACTTAATTTCCACAGTCACTTTAAACTTAACTACTTTTATAAACACACGCTATAATTCACAGCGATTCACACACTTTACTTACGGTGCCTACTGTTCGCTTGACTCAGTTATCAATTTCTCTTCAATTTATCTCCGGCTAATATACTAAAAAAGAGGGCGTCTAGCAAACGCTTGGACGTTCCTGAAGTTGCCACCTAAGTCACGATCCTTTTAGAAACTCTAGCG